TGGGTCTACATGGAGAACCCATCATTTGTGTAGTCTGTCTCAAGAGCATTTGTCCTCTATTCGCCTTTTTTGTTTTCCTGATTATAAAAATGTTACATGCTTATTTTGAAACACCTAAACATCTCAGAAATAAAACAGACAAAGTGCAAAAGACTCTGGTAACCCTCCACAGGTAACCACGAGCAACAGGATGGCGCCTAGTTCTCCAGACTGTGTTGTCTACGCATATGGAAATATATTTTTAATAGGATGATTATTCTCCTATTTTTTTTTAATTTTTTTTTCAACGTTTATTTATTTTTGGGACAGAGAGAGAGCATGAACGGGGGAGGGGCAGAGAGAGAGGGAGACACAGAATCGGAAACAGGCTCCAGGCTCTGAGCCATCAGCCCAGAGCCCGATGCGGGGCTTGAACCCACGGACCGCGAGATCATGACCTGGCTGAAGTCAGATGCTTAACCGACTGCGCCACCCAGGCACCCCTCTCCTATTTTTAATATTCACATATATTTACTCTTCAAGATGAAGTTTAAAATAAATATATCCAGTTCTCCTTAACAGCCCCCCCAAATTTGGCAAAATGGCATTAAATGTGTACATCAATGAGGAGAATTACTGTTTTTCAAACATGGAGTCTTTCCATCAATAAACGTGGTATTCCCTCCAGTTTTTCAAGCCTTTATTTTGACATCTTTATTAGTAAAGGTTTATATTTTTCTTCCTGTATGCCTTAACTGTACCTTATTAAGTTTATCCCAATGCATTTTATCATTGGTATTGCTACTAAGAAAGAGATCCTTTCCTTTCTCTCAATTATGTTTTCTATTAATTGTGGCTGCAGTATCAGAGGAAACTCTTCGTCTTTACAGTTGTGTTTTTTAGTTTTTTTCATGTTTATTTTTGAGAGAGAGACTGCACGTGAGTGGGGGAGGGGCGCAGAGAGAGGGAGACAGAATCCGAAGCAGGCTCCAGGCTCTGAGCTGTCAGCACAGAGCCCCATGCAGGGCTCCAACTCAAGAACCATGAGATCATGACATGAGCCGAAGTCAGACACTTGGCTGACTGAGCCACCCAGGCACCCTGCATCTTTACAGTTTTTTTTTTTTTTAATTTTTTTTCAACATTTATTTATTTTTGGGACAGAGAGAGACAGAGCATGAACGGGCGAGAGGCAGAGAGAGGGAGACACAGAATCGGAAACAGGCTCCAGGCTCTGAGCCATCAGCCCAGAGCCCGACGCGGGGCTCGAACTCACGGACCACGAGATCGTGACCTGGCTGAAGTCGGACGCTCAACCGACTGCGCCACCCAGGCGCCCCTACAGTTTTAAAATGAACTCTGTTGGGGGCACCTGGGTGGCTCAGTGGGTTGAGCGCCTAACTCTTGCTCTCAGTTCAGGTCATGATCTCACTGTTGGTGAGACTGAGCCCCGTGTCAGCCTCCAAGCTGACAGTCTCAGAGCCTGCTTGGGATTCTCTCTCTCTGCCCCTCCTCTGCTCATGCTCTCTCTGTCAAGATAAATAAAATAAATTTTAAAAAATAAAATAAAATAAACTCCCTTGGACTATTTTAGGTAAATGCACTATAAATTGTGATAATTTGCCCTTCCTTACCAATATTTATATTTTTTATTTGTTTTTCTTGTCTTACTGCATTTGCTGGAACCTCTACAACAACGCTGAAGAGGGCCAGGGTCTTGTTCTTGACTTCATGAGAAGCCTTCATCTTGGCCTCTTCTTTAAAAGCCCCCACCCTCCCTCAGGACTCAAATGCCCTCCTTTTTCTCCCCCATCCCTGTCAAATATCCTTTGTAATAGAGGCTTTTCCTTAGGTTTTTGACAGCAGGGGGTGAGTTAAACTACTGTAGTTTCTGGGGCGCCTGGGTGGCGCAGTCGGTTAAGCGTCCGACTTCAGCCAGGTCATGATCTCGCGGTCCACGAGTTCGAGCCCTGCGTCGGGCTCTGGGCTGATGGCTCAGAGCCTGGAGCCTGTTTCCGATTCTGTGTCTCCCTCTCTCTCTGCCCCTCCCCCGTTCATGCCCTGTCTCTCTCTGTCCCAAAAATAAATAAACGTTGAAAAAAAAAAATAAATAAACTACTGTAGTTCCTTTTCCTGGATGATGTGCCTTCCAAGCCTCTGCAAAGGACTTGCCGCTTCTATAACTAAAATGCAGAATTCTGCAAAGGCAGAGCAGCTGCTAAGAGACAAGAAACTTGCCTCAGCGTCCACAGACACGCAACCTCTCCTTCAGTCCTCAGTGCACACTCCGCAAGTTGGATTTTTTAGTGCACTCTCATTGTTCAAAGGAAGGTCTGTCTCCAAGTAACTTGTCCCAGGTCACACAGCTAAGTGGCAGAGAGAATTCGAAGCCAGATCACAAGGGAAATCCTACAACCTCACAGACCTGAGCGTTGGATGTGATTACAGGGATCAAGGGGAAGTTTGGACACAAGGGGAAGGCCGATGTTCAGGGGAGAAAGTCTAACGGGGATGGGACATCCTTCCCTTCCCTGTAGGCCTGTGCTGAGCAAGCAGTATATAGAATGGGGCTTTGCTGACAGGGTGGCCGGAGAGGAGTGTCAAGAATCTTGGGGCGCCTGGGTGGCGCAGTCGGTTAAGCGTCCGACTTCAGCCAGGTCACGATCTCGCGGTCCGTGAGTTCGAGCCCCGCGTCGGGCTCTGGGCTGATGGCTCGGAGCCTGGAGCCTGTTTCCGATTCTGTGTCTCCCTCTCTCTCTGCCCCTCGCCCGTTCATGCTCTGTCTCTCTCTGTCCCAAAAATAAAATAAAAAACGTTGAAAAAAAATTAAAAAAAAAAAAAAGAACCAGCCCGTGGCGTTCTTCCTAGAACCTTCAAATCCTCACGTGGGCATTGGTATAAGGGAGGGGCCCTGTCCTGGGAACAAAGACTGGCTATGAGTCCCAGCTCTATCACTCACCTGCTGTGTGACCTTGGGAAAGTTGCTCCCCTCTCTGGTCCTGGTTGAACATCTATAACATACCCAACCACCTTGACTGGAAAGAGGAAGAAAAAGGTTTTGCACAAAGTGGTCCATTTGACTTTCTAATTTATTTTTATTTTTGTAAGTTCATTTATTTTGAGAGACAGAGAGAAACTCAGCATGAGTTGAGGAGGGGCAGAGAGAAAGGGAGAGAGAGAGAAAATCCCAAGCAGGCTCCACACTGTCAGTGCAGAGCCCGATGCGGGGCTCGAGCCCCCAGATCATGGGATCATGACCTGAGCCGAAATCAGGAGTCAGATGCTCAACCTACTGAGCCACCCAGGCGCCCCTAAAGTGTTCCATTTGATTTTCAATTAAACAAAGCAGATGAATCCATGCATTTATCCCTACTCTCTCTACTCTCTTCTGCAATCTGCTAAAAGGACTATACAGAATTTTTCTTAAAAATAGACAAACAAGAAAGAGAGAGGTTGATATCAGGGGACAAGGGGTATAACGTGTTTTTCTGGGACCCAGGAATTGGAGGCAAGAGTATCTCAAAAAGCAGGTGCAGGTCCGATAGCTGAAAACAGAGGGAATGTTAGATACACACACACACACACACACACACACACACACACACCTTACTCCTCGCCCACCAGGCACAGTGGAAGATGGGCAGAGAGGAACCCTGGTCAGAATAGAGGGAGTAGGTGGAAATCCATACACTGTCTGAGATTCCCCTGCCTCCTCCGCCTAAACACGAGTAACCGCATTCACCCACTGCAGGATGCAGGATGCTTTTCCAGAGAAGCTGAATGGTCCCACAGAAAACACCTACAACCATGACATTGAGGGTCCTCCAAAAGAACGACTAGACCTTCATCCAATCACTCCCGGTGAAGCCGCCAACTGACAAGCCCCACCCACACTCACAGCAGTGTTCAGTGCTTTCCTCTTAAATGGGAGCAAGACAAGTAAAAGAAATAAGGCACTTGGAAGAAGCACGGTCAGGCCAGGAGCAAAAGGAAACCAAAGGGAAACTGTCATTGTTACTTTGATTAAAGAACATACTGCGTAGGAGACACTGAACTGGGTGCTAGGGGAAGGAAGTGGGGAAGGGGAGGGAAGGGAAAGGAAGGGATCCACACAACACTCAGGAACTCTTTTTTTTTTTTTTTTTTTTGAGAGAGAGAGAGAGAAGGTGCAAGTGAGCAAGGGGCAGAGAGAGAGACAGAGGAGAGAGAAAGAGAGAGAAGCAGGGCTTACCCGAAGTGGAACCGGAGTTCACAAACCACGGGATCATGACCTGAGCCGAAGTCAGATGCTTAGTTGAGCCCCCCAGGCACCCCATACTCAGGAACTCGTGCAAACTAAAAAAGATTGAGCCAAAATTTCAAAAGGCAACAGTAGGGTTCAAAGATAAGGACAAGGAAATTTTACCAAAGAGGAGGATGAAAAAGGCAGAGACAGAAAATGAGAAAAAAAAAACACCAAAAAACGCACAAAAAAGCATGACAAAAACAGAGCATCACACCAGGATATCTCCCCTTCCTAAGAGAGGAAATTCCCAAAGACACAAACGCAAGTGATTTTCCCCAGATAATTGTCCCAGATGGAAAGAACCCGGTAGGTACCCAAAACTATGGGTGAAAATAGACTCACATTAGGACAATTTAAGACTAAATCTCACCATGAAGTTTCAGCACACAAAGGACAAAGGGAAGATCCTCAAAGCTTCCAGAGAGGCAGGTGCAGATTGCATGGAAAAGGCAGAAACCCAGAACGGCACAGGAATTCTCAACCATGCTTGAAGCTCAAAGACGACTGAGCAAAGTCTTCAACATTCCGAGGGCGAAATGTTCCCAACCTAAAATCTTATCTCCAGCCAAACTGGTGATCAGTTGTGCAGGTAGGAAGCAAAATTTTTTTTCAGGCATGTGGTCTATCAGAAACGTTACCCGCTCATCCCCTTTTCTTAAAAAGCCCCCTCCCCGCCCCCCCACCCGACACAAACCAAGAGCATAAATCAAGGAGGCAGACACGACGGGACTATGTTGATAAAAATAAGCATTTAAAAGTCGGTCTTCCCTGAGTAATCGGGTCCTCGTGCCCTCACCGGGTTTTCCAACAACAAAATAATCTAGAGTGCGTGTTTGTTCGCCTTTTGACATTTCTGAAAACGAGATCACGCTGCAACCGATGGCCTCTTAGGTCAATAAATAAGGCAGCAGCTAGCATTTGCGCACTGCTTTACAGTTAGCCGTGGCACTTCGTGCACCGTTTTTCCTTCGGCTTCACAACGGCTTCCGGAAACCAGTTTTATCAAGCCCGTCGTGAACACCAAGAAACTGAGATTCCGTGTGGTGAAGCCACCCAAGGCAGCGCCTAGCTGGTGTGGGTTGTGAGTGGGGGAGTTAGCATCGAGTCCCTTTTCCTCACCAGGAGCATTAGAGTATCTCATCTGGGGCTTCACAGCCCTCCGCTCATCTGACAGTTGAGGGAACCAAGGCTCAGAGAGGTTAAGGGATGCGCCCCGCCTCACACAGCCCGGCAGCCAGGCAGGGTCAGGATCTGAACTCTCTCCACTGCCTCGCTGTTTGGCTGGCACCAGGGGCAGCAGCTGTGTTCCCATGGGAAGCAAGCACAAGGTGGGGGGCAGGGGAGGAGGGCATCCCAGCCCACCCCAGAGTAAGCCCTTCCCCCTCCGACTCACTGCATGATCCTGTCCCAGGCCGGGTCAGAGGGGTAGCGCTTGGATCCACCCAGGTACAGGGACCGATACCGCTGCCGTTGGTCCTTCGTCTCCATCAGCCAGGTGTTGAGGTAGCGGCCCACACCTACGGGGTTCTGCAGCAAGGAGAGGATGGCGGGACATGCGAACTCGGGCCTCCCGGCTCTCCCCACGCTGCTCCCTACTCCATCTGTTAGGGGTTGAACTGCGTCTTCCAAAGGGACATGTAGAAGTCCAACCCCCGGGACCTCGGCGGGTGACCTTATCTGGAAATGGCTGCTGATGTCATTGGTAAGGATGAGGTCCCCACATGAGTAGGGTGGGCCCTTAACCCAATGAGACGGGTGTCCTTCTAGAAGAGACCCACGGGAAAAGACAGCCCTGTGGCAGTGACGTCAATGACAGCGGTGGAAGGGAGTGACGCATTCACATGCCCAGGAACTCCAAAAACTGCCGGCCAGCACCGGAAACTAGAAAGAGGCCAGGAAGGATTCTCCCCTGCAGGTTTCAGAGGGAACGGCCCTGCCGGCACCTGGACTTTGGACCTCCGGCCTCCAGAACCGTTTCAGGATAAACTGCTGTTGTTTGAAGCCGCCTGGTTGTTGGCGCGGCCGTGGGAAGCTAACACACCATCCCACCCAGAAACCTATGTCCTAGATACGAGAGGCGGCAATAGAGAGGTTCCAAGAGGAGGAGAGGAAAGGTAACCTGCCCAGAGGTGAGCAGTGAGGGCAGGAGAATGGCTGGTCAGGAACCTGGTCAGTTCCAATGGCTGGTCAGTTACCTGTGGCGTAACAGTGCCAAGGGTGCCTCGAGAGAGATACCAGGGGCCACACACAGTGGGATGTGCAGCTGAACTTGCTGCCCATGAGGGAAAGGCCCGTCTCGAGGGGGAGCAAGCTCCCGGTGGTGGGCCTCCTGTCCCAGGGCAGGGCGAGCTCAAGCCCTGGGACCCAGACGGATGTCACCTCAGCTCCTCCCACTCTGCAGTGGCCAGCCCCGTGCTAGCAGCATCCGGCTCTTACCTAAACACCTTATTTGGGGTCCCCAAGTGAAGACCTCTCCCCTGCAGGAAGTACAGGCATGGGGTGAGAAAAAGTAGCTTGTTTCTCTGAGAATCGGGCAGGATGACAGGGTGTGGGCACAGTGGAGGCCAAGCCGTCACTCTGGGAGGTGAGCAGGTGGGGTGGAGGAGGGAGAGCTCAGGTGTGGGGGTGTGGGAGGAGGCGCAGGGGGAAGGCAGGTAAGTTACAAGCAGAACGTTCCCCCCGGGGAAACCAGGAGGCACTTAAAAATAAACAGCTGTTCAAAACCAGGCACAACTAACCCTCGCTACTGGAAGTCAAGACGGGGCCACCTGGTGGGGAGGGAGGTGTGTGTCAAGGGGGCTCCTGGGGCGCTGGAAATGCGCTCTTCAATGCTCTGGGGACTTGTTACAAGGATGAGCCCATTTTGTGACAATTCACAGGGCCGTCCGCTTAGGATTCCTGCACTTTACTGTATGCTTATCAGAACCTGAAAAAAATGTGCACTTGAAAACTGAAGGGCAGGAGTAAGAAACAGAATGAGGTCAATAGCCACTGCCATTTGTATAAGTTAAGAAGGCCTGCACACAAAACCCAAGAACTTATTAGCCGTTTTACAAGAACACTGAAAGCTCTATCACACACGTGGGGGATGGCTGCCTCGGGGGAGGGGGAGGGCGACAGAAGGGGTCCTTGCTCAGCCAAGGATGAGAAAGGGGCCAAGTCCGCTAGCTGCTCCCTGAGGCCCTAAGACAAACACAAAGAGGATGGAGGGAGCATCCCCCCTGGGAAAATAAGAGCGTGAGCTGGCTCTGGGGGGACGTGGTTCTCAAAGTGTGGTCCCCAGACCAGCAGCGGCATCACCCGGGAACTTATTAGAAATGCAAATACCCAGGCTCCCCTACAGGCTACCGAATCAGACTCAGACGCTCCGGCAGGGCGCCCAGCATTCTGTGCTTTGACAAGCCCTCCAAGGGGTTGCTCGTGCCCACTCAAGTTTGGAAGTCACTGCCTTAGAGAAATAAGATGGTAGGAATGAGTGTTTGTCCCTTGGGGAGAAAGAGGTGGGATCGGGCTCACGCAGAGCATCAGTTCCCAGGTGTGGGGGTGCGAGGGCTTGGTGCTGCCTGTAGAGGCAGGAGAGGGTTCCCTGGCCATCACCTTTTAACCCCCACCCCAGACCTACTCACCCAGCTTCCCAGAATCATCTGGTAGGCCTTTATGCCCATCCGCTTGGAAGACAGCAGGAAGGGTGGCTGGTTGACGTGTTTGCATTCCTTCTTTGGAGGAAGCCACGAACCGGGACCAGACGTGGCCTAGGAGTTAGAAATGAAGGCTGAAAGCTGGAGGGGTCTGGCAGTGGTCAGCCTGGGACCAGGGCAGGTGAGGGCTCCCGACAGCCCACCCCAACCACCCGCAGCCCTGGGCCTTGAGCCAAAAACAGTGAGGGGGTTACCCAGCCACCTTCCGACTCACCAGGAGCCCATCCTCGGGGGGTGGAGGGGCCCTGTGGTGCCCTCATAACAGATGTCACCCACTCTAACCCCACCCCTCAGCCTGACACCTCTTTCCAGGTTCCCAAGGGCGCACAGGGTCTGGCAGGTCCACAGAGGCTTTTCCAACCTGGAAAGCGGAAGCCACACAGACTTTGGAGCTAAACGAGCTGGCTTCCTTCTCACACTTGCTGGGGGAGCCTGGGCACATCCCTTCCCATCTCTGGGCCTCAGTTTCCTCTTGTGAAATGCAAATGATAACTCCTACTTTGGGGCGCTGGAAGGTGCCTGGCCCACAGCAGGCATTCAGGAAATGTTAGCACCCTGTTTCATTCATCCAGACCCCACTCCTCCCCAAGCCCCTAGCAGTTCTCCAGGGGGGCGGGGAGCAGGCCCTGCGTGTGGGAGGCGAGAGCCTATCCGGGTCACTGGCTGCCACACCCCAGAGAGGAGCCCACCATCCCCTCAGAGGGAGCAGGTATGCAGTCCTCTGTCAGGGTGGACCCCTTATTCACGCTCTGCCCTGCCCCGCGTCCCCTTGGCCTCTCCCCAGGGGAGAGAGGAGCACTTGGCAGGTGCCAGGCTCCACCCTGCCAGCTCCAATCCTTAACCTCTGACTCTCAAGCCACTTGGTTATGCTCAGAGGACAAGCAAGCAAACTGAGCCTTGGAGAGTGGGAGGGACATACTCAGAGTGACAGGTGCGTGCACGACCAGGCAACCGGGTGGGTCCGACACCCCAGGCTGAGCTTTCCCCTCGAAGAGCCAGCCCCATCCCATGCCCGCCCCACGCGAGAGTCCCCTCCCCAGAGAAGAAGGCAGGCAGGCCACGGGGGAAACACTGACTAGTTTTCGGGGGCACTGGCTAAGGGTCGCCCAGTAAATCCTCTCCGTCGGGGTTTCCGGGTTGCGAGGAATTTTCGAAAAAACCCCACGCTTCTTATTGTGCCGCGAGTTAAGCTCTTCCACGAAGGTCGTAAAATTCATCAGTTCCCTGGGCTTTTTTTTCTGAGAAACAGAAAAGAGAAAACAAAAAACAAACAAGCAAAAAAACCAGAAGCGTCATGCCAGGAAAATCGGAGCCCTCTCTCTGGACCCTCCGCAGCAGAGAAAAGTAGGTGGTCACACCAGGAGGCACTACTCTCCACCCTGCCTCCCGCAGCCCTGGCCGTGGACTTGGCTGACCAGCCCTGGCAACCTCACCTCCAAGCCACGCCCACCGCTTAGCTTGGGGCTTTTGCCTATTCCTACACCTTCCCACTCATTTCAAGGGCATTTACTGCACGCACACTGTTCTCAGCGGGAGCAACAGTCCCGATATTTAAACGCCAGCGCGATGGGGGAACACAGAGGACTGTCAGGGCTGCAAAACTACTCTGCGCGATACCGAAACGGTGGATACGCTTGCCCAAACCTGTGGAAGACACAATACCCAGAGTGAAACCTAACGTGAATGTGGACTTTGGCTGATAATGACCTCGGTCTAGGTTCGTCGATTGTACCAAATGTGCCCCTCTGGGGGTGGGATGTTGCCAGTGGGGGGGAGGCTGTGCATGGAGGGGGAACAGAGGGTGCAGAGGAACTCTGTACTTTCTGCTCAGTTTTGCTGTGAACCTAAAAATGAGCTTAAAGATAAAGTCTATTACTTTTTAGATAATAAAGAATATTATGTGGCCTGGGCACTGGGCCAATCAGAATAGGAGTTGGCTGTAGGGCCTGTGGAGGGTCCCAAGGTCCCTGCTATGCTGGGCAGGACCACTTCAGTGGCTGGTCATGGGAACTTCCAGAAGGCCCTGGGGAGAAGTCGGGCTGCAGGGCTCATTCCGCAGCTATATGCCAATTGGCCCAAAGTATGTCAACATTTTACCTTCACCACCCCCATCCTAGGGCTTCTGAGCGCTCACCACCTGCTGACACTCTATGTTGGTTTCACTTATGACTGTGTGTCCTTTTCCGCCGGAGTGTAAGTGCCACAGGGGGCAGTCACTCCCGTGACTATTACCTGGCACAAAAGTACACACCGGGTGAATGCACAGTGGAGGGAAAATGAACAGGTAATTGGACAAATAGTCAATTCCAATTGCTATGAACAGGAAGAAAGCAAAGCCCAGTGTGCTATGGGTCACACAACAGGAGCATGATGGGAAAAGGGCGGGGGGGGGGGCGTCGAGTTAAAATTCTACCTCAGTTTCCCCAGCCTCCCAGCCTCTGGCTTGTTAGCTGCCACTAACAAAGCCAGCTGAGACGGGCCTGCGATGCCTGGGAAGTGCTTCCAAAATAACAGGGCGCCCAGACCCGTGCCGTCAAGGTCCCTGCAGGCCTTGTGGCCAGTCTCCCACGCAGCCCGGGGGGTTGTGACCATCTGCTCCTCCTCTGCTGTGCATGCAGGCGAAGTCAGACAGACATGCTGGGGTTCAAATCCCAGCTCTGCTCCTTACCAGCTGTGTGGCTGGCCTCAGCTTCCTCATGGAACACAGGCTGTGAGGGTGAAGTGAGCAGCGTGTGGGAGGGCCCTGCAGCGCTTGGCACGCAGGGTGGCGGTGCTCCTGGGGCTGATAAGCGAGGGCTGCCATCTGCAGGGGAACCCGTGCTCCGTGCCCTGCCTGGGTACATACCTGCACAGAGTAATGTCCATAAGGCTGGGGCTTGCTTCGGTCACCGGAGAAAGTGTCGTAGGGGCCGCGGGTGCCCATGGATCGTGCCAGGTAGGTCTCAATGCCACTTTTGAAGGAGTAGGTGCCTGGTGCCAGACCACTCCCCTAGAACAGAACCCGGCTGACAGTCCCACGGGAGAACTGCTGAAGCAGGCCCGCCGCCTCCCGGGGTCTCAGTTCCCCATCTGCCCTGGGAGTCTCCCCCTTCCGCCAGGACTATGCAGGAAGGTGGGCAAGGCCTGGCCAGAGGAGGGGGTACCTGATGAGCCAAGAGGAGTGGCCTGCTGGTCATCCTGCACATGAGGACCTGAGAACGGTTCTGGGCTTTCTCCTCCAGCTTTGTGTATGGGTTACCCTTCACCCCATAATTTCCAGGGCCTGGATAGTAGTTCTGTGAGAGGTGTGGGGAGGGACACAAAGGTCATCAATCCCACTCCTTATGCTGAGTTTGTCTGAAGAAGAGAAGGCCTGGGAGGGGAACAGGACGTTCAGGGCCCTTGTGTGTTAACCGCCCCCCAACACACAACATGGTCAGTCTCAACACAGCTCCACCACTGCTCAAACCTTCAGTTCCAAGTTCACACTTCCCCAGGGCCCCGGCGGCCTGTCCCACTTATTTCATGCTGCTCCCCGCCTACATCCCACACTCCAGCCGAACTGGGCTCCTTGCTGTATGCCAAACACAAGCCATTCTGCCAACCTCCGTGTCTTTGCTTGCTGGTGTTGTTACCACCACCCAAAATGCCCTCCCTGCCCTCTTTGCCTTGGAAAGTTCGAATTCTGCAAAGCCAGGTCAAATGCCATCTCTCCCGGGAATGAAGCCTTCCTTCCCTATCACCCCAGACAGTTGCTGGCTTTGGTGGTCTCAGAAATGCCATCTGTCGCACCTGCTTTTGCATGAATGGGGTTCTCACTGTGCTCTGAACAGTGCTGTCGCCCGGAAGGATCTGGAGTCCTGGGTTTGAATCCTGGCTTTGCTGCTTCATAGCTGAGTGACCTTGGGCATACCACTTAGACCTTCTGAGTCTCGTTGTCCACATTTGTAACATGGAGATAGCAATAATTTTCTTCCAGGGTAATAAGGATGAAATTAAATCCCTCTAAAACTTCTTGCACAGTGCTCAGCCCCTAGTGGGCACCGACATATAAGTCAGGGTGGGATGCCTATCTTGGGGGTCCGGAGAAGGAGTGGGGAGAGGCTGAGAACTGTGGCTAGAAATGAGCATCTGGGGGTTCCACTGCCAGGGTTGGAAGTATGGTCTCTGGAAGTGGAGTGAGCGGAGACACCCTGCAGTGTAGGTGGGTGGGTGGGTTGGTGGGGGGAGGTGGTCCTTGGATAGAGACCTGGAACAACGTTTGCTGCTGCCATGCATCTTTTTGCCACGCGAGGTCGCTGCGCTTCCACAGATGGCTCAGCCCTACCCACCTCCGCCAGGAACCAGCCCTGGGGAAGCAGCCCTACCCGGCAGGCTGGAGAAGGCAGGGAGTTCTACCCCGGCGGTGGGAGGGGGGGAGTCAGCCAGTTATGGCATCAGATCTGTCCTGCCCTCAGAGGACAGCACTACATGTGTCCTTCTTCTAGGGCCCAGGGTTTCCAGGTGCGTTCAGAAGACCCCCAAGGTAGGAAGCTGGGTGCCTGCACAGTGCGTTAGGTGCTTCAGAAGCCTCAACATTTGGTTCTGGAGGTGACTCAGTGAGATCAAATCAGCACCATCTGCAACTAACAGATGGAGAAACAGAGTTTCAGAGAGTCAGACCTCGAGTCCAAGGTCCTACCTCTGGAAAGAAGCAGCCGCTAGGGTTCCAACTGCAAAATCCAGGCTCTTTTCTGAGCTGTTTCCCAGGGGCGGGAGGGCCATGAGCCTGGGTACACCTCAGAAGTGACCTTAGAAGTGCCGGTTCCGACACAGTAGCCACTGTGAAGAAGGTGGGGAGGACCTTGAAGACATTAGGAGGCATTCAGACCTGGTTCTGACACACGAGGGCCCTTCAGAAGACCATTCCGGCAATGGTAGGGGACCAGGAAATCGGTCAAGAGGCTGCTCCTGGGTGGAGAAGGGACAGTGGCCTGGGCCAGGGTGGAGGCAGTGGGGATGGAAGGAGGAGGACAGGAGGAGGACAGGAGGCAAAAGCACAGACCCTGGTGACTGTGGGGAAAAGGATCTGCTAGGTTTCTGACTCTGGAAGCTGGTGGTGCCATTGCTGGAGAAGAGTAGGGCTGGGGGAGATTCTGATGTGGGGGAGGGGGGGCAGGGTGGCAGCGAGGGGAGAAGAGCCATAAGGGAGGCTGGCAGAGGAACTCCAGAGCTGCAGACCTAGTGTCCCCAGAGCCAAGAGAGGGGACAGTGTGCTGAGGGAGCGGGTGGTGGCATCACCCAATGCCAGAGGTGGACAAGATTCAGAAACCAGAGGAGGAAGCATTGCCTTTGCTGTGTTGGGGCTTGACAGCCCCATCCTTTCTGGGGAAAGATTCATGGGGCCTCCAAAGCAGGTACCCACAGCTTTGGCAATGACACTGGAGAAGGCCCCAGTGGAGAGGTCAGCACCCTACACAGGTAGCGTCTGTAGACCTGTACGGGTGGGGGGACAGCTAGAGGGACCAGAGGACAGAGGAGGCCATCAGGTTCCCAGCCCAGGTCTCACAGCAAGAAGACAGCTGAAAAAGCAGGCCTTGGACATGAGCTGCCCCGGGATTGCCTTCTGCACCCACTGGGGCAGTGGCACACCTTGAACTCACTGTCTAGCCTGAGCCCAGGACAGTGGCTCGGAGAAATCCTGCAGGGCCTGATGGAGCAGCAATGGGAACAAAGTGCACGAAGAGCCAGCTGGAAGGAAGGGTCAGGCCGTGGAACCTTCCCCCTGCTCAGCCAACACTCACAGATGCCCCAGTGCAGGGGGGCTGGGGACACAGGAAGGAAGCATCAGATTTGTTCCTCCGCCACCATCTGGGCTGGGTGCTATTAGACCCTGTCCTCCAGGGACAGTCAAGGAACAAAGTCCAAGGGAGCCAACCTATGTGTAAACCGCACGGGCTTTGTGTGCACCCCTTAGATTCAAATCCTGCTTGTGCCACTGGGAAGCTCTGCGACCTTGGGCAGTTACTTAACCTCTCTGTGCTCCAGTTTTCTCATCTGTAAAGTGAGATAATGCTAGTGCCTACCTCACGAGGTGAGGTGGGGGGGGGGGGGTTGTGGTGAGGATTAAATGAATCAGTACACTCGAGTGCTCAGGACAGCATCTGGCACATCGCAAGTGCGGTGTTAAGCGTCAGCTATTATTACTTTAGATTTGAAGGTAATGACTCAGTTTTAAATGCCTCCAGGCATCCCCTCTCCCTATACTGCAGTTAATAGCTTCTGCACCTAAAGACGCAAAGAGTAATCTCCAGGCTTCATGGTGGTTAAGGTGCAGAAGAAACGGCCAGGCTCTGGGGTTGGACACTGCCTGCTTCCCAGCTGTGCAGCTTGAGGCAAAATGCTCGTCCTCTCTGAGCCTCCAGCACCTCATCCGGAGTGGTTGTAAACAGGATGTTTGGGAACACCAAGGACTTAGTAGGCGCGCGTGCCCTGATTGAGTCCACAAATACTGACTGTGCGCCCACTGTGTGCCAGGCACTGCTAAGGATTGGGAATCCTGCAGTGAGCCACCCCGGCAGATGTCCAGTGGGGAAGAAACACTAAACACAAGCACCATCAGGACTCCTGGGAAAGGGAGATGTCTGTCACCTAGTGGGGGTCAGGCAGGCTCCTCAGCTGACAGCTGAGGGCTGAGGAGGAGTCCCTTAGACCAAGGGGCCGCTGGGGGAGGGGGAGAGGGAGAAGAAGGGCATTTCTGGCAGAGGGAATGGCAGGAGGAAAGCCCCAGTTGAAAGAGCTTGGCCCATTTGAGGAGCTGGAAGAAAGACAAGAGCATCCGGCCGGGGAGGGGCACTCCAACCACAGTGCTCACTCCAGACCGTCTGACTTCTGCCTTCTCCCTTGCTGAGCTTGAAACCCACTCGATGGGACGATCATCCCGACCCACCCAGATGCCACCCTACCCCTCACCGCCATCACCTCCCATCTGGATGCCTCCGCCCCTCACCCCTATGAGCAGGGTGCTCCTCTGAAAACATAAATCAAGCCCTTCCCTTGTCAAAACCCTCCACTATCCTCCCAGTGGAATCAATCCTGTAGCCCCCACCTTGCTGCCCGGTCCTGCCCTCTGGCCTTCACCCCTCTGCCATCTCTCCACCTTCCGCCTTCCGCCCTCACCCCCCCCCCCAACCTCCAGCCACACCGGCCTCCTGCCTGCCGGCCCAATTCAGGGCCTAAGCCTGCTGTTCCTGCCGCCTGGAACGCTCTCCTGCAGCTACTGTGAGTTTCTGTTGCTCACCTCCCCCCCAGAGGTCTTCCGGGACCACCCCAGAAATTACACTTCCATCACTCTGTCGGTATCCCTTCCTTGTCTCATTTTTCCTCATGGCCCCGATCATCTATGACGTGCTTCTCTGTACTGTCATTTCTTCCACTAGGGCACCAGCTCCAGGAGGTCAGGGGCTTGTCTTCCTCGCCGCTTGATCCCCAGGCCCGAGAACAGTGCATGGCACTTAGTGGGTGCTCACTCAGCATTTGCTGGCTAGATGGATGAGTTTGTGGAGCACCCAATGTATGCTGGACTCTGTCCTGGGGACTCAGAGATGAACCAGACCCATCCCTGACAGCAGGGAGCTCCTCGGCTGGTGGGGGAGACAGACGCAGGAAATATGACAGCCCCTGGGCTCGAGGCTGTGGTAGCAGAAAGCAAAGGGGTTGGGGGACCCCGAGGAGAGCCTGGCCGAGCCTGGCAAGGAGGTGGTACAGGAGGGGCGCTTCCAGCACCATCCAGGCTACATGCTCTGCAGCCAGAGCCGAGGGCGGGAGGGCTCGTCCCCAGTACACGAGGACACCTACCCCAACAAGGCCACGGAAGCGGGTCTCCCCCGAGCTGAGCAGCCCCCGGGTGCTGCACGGTTTCTGCTGCAGCTGTTCTAAGAAGTCTTTGAGGTTGTAGGAGCCGGGCCCCAGCTTCTCCTTCTGCCCCAAGAGAAGAAAGCAGAAGGTGACAACTTGAACCACGGGGACGTCCACGCAGGAGGGAGTCTGGAGGAGGGCGGCACTCCGTCCAGGATGAGCGCTGCCTGGGAGGACTCACCTGCAACCGCTTCTCTTTCATGATGGCCTCGTACTGGAAGTGGGGCAGCTGGGTCAGCCGGGTGGCTTCCTGGGTCCTGGCCCAGCCTGTGCCCACCTCCTTGCTGAGTTTCTTCTTGCTGAAGCAGGTCTCCTGGTAGCCATAGGTTCCAGGTCCTATGTGGGACTGAGTCAGAGCACAGTCATACCAGTCTACCCACAGAGTGAGTCCTCCTCACCGACTGGGGGAGTAGACAGGCAGGAACCAGCTGTGCCCACCGGCCCCCCCCCCCCCCGTCTCAAACCTGGCACTGAGGGGCGTGGCACTCGAGGTACAAACACAACATCCTCTGTCATTGGTCCCCTTACACTTAGGGGTGGCACCTCCTTTGGAGCTCACAGCTGGTTGGTGCCAGGGAAGAAATGGCACCCGGGTCTCCGTCACCCCAACCCACGCTGTTCTCACGACAGCCCTGCATTTATCAACACATCTGAGGTCCCAGCTCTGAGCCAAGCTCTGTGCTCCAGACTGAGGGCTTGGAGAGGCGTCAGGCACGGCCCTGACACAGCTCAGCTCCTCCTCCGTGGTGAGGGGCTTGGAGGGGCAGGGGGAGTGTCAGAGAAGCCACATGGGCGCGCAACCTCACCATTTGCACAGAATGAAGCTTGGAGTAGGGGGCCTCGGTGAAGGTGCTGAGTTTCTTCTGATTGGGGTAGACGGCGGAGACATCAAACCTAGGGAGGGGGGGTGCCCGGGTGGCTCAGTCACTTAAGCATCTCACTCTTGATTTCCGCTCAGGTTATGATCTCACCGTATGTGGGATAAAGCCCCGGGTCGGGCTCTGGGCTGAAAGCGCGGGGCCTGCTTGGAGTTTTCTCTCTCTGCCCCTCCCTCTCTCTCTCAAAATAAATAAAATAAACTTAAAAAAAAAAACAACCCTACGGAGGGACAGAGACCCTGAGAGAGGGAGGGACAGAGACCCTGAGAGAGAGCTCAAGGCCTGGCCCCCGGTTCTGGTGTGGCCAGTTCTGGGGGCGCGGGGGGCTGTTGGCTTCCCAGAGGAGCTGGCCTGTGGAGCAGGAGCAGGACTGCGGCCACCGCGGGGTCTCCGGGCTTCCTGCTTCTCTCTCCACCCTTGCCTGGTCCCCTGCTTTCTGCTGGAAGCCTTTCCTCAAAAGTCACCTTATCGTCACAGCCCCCACCCCACCCTCCAGCACTGGCTCCCCCTCCCAGCTGGCTTCTGCTCCACAGCCCTTACCACGACCCAGCATTTTATATAGGTTTCCTTTTTGGTTTATGACCCACTCCAACCACCCCTCCCCACAAGAATGTGAACTCCTGAGTACAGAGTTTCGCTGTTGGTTCGCTGTTGTGTCCCCAGATGCTAGAGCTGTGCCTGGCACGGAGTAGGTGGCACATGGAAGTCACGTAGAGGTGTGAATGAAAGACACCTGGGCTGAAATCCTGCCCACCACCCTTACGCTGAGCGACCTCCTCCCCGGCCGGGCCGCCTGGCCTCTCTGAGCCCGGCCCATAGGAGGTGTTCTTGGAACGCCTTCAAATCACTTGAAGTTGGTGAAAAGCGCTCTGGGCAGAGAAGCGCGGCAGGTGTGACGGGGAGAGAAAGTCGCCCCGCACCCCCACCCCACGCTGCCAGTCTCTCCTGTCCCTCCCTCCTCCCCCAGGCTCCAGCCGCGCCCCGAAGGGCCCCACCTGTGGCTCTGCACCCCGAAGGGTGCCCCGCTGAACCACTTGGTGCCCATGGCTCGGGCGCCCCCAGGCGAGGTGCTGGCCGGGACTCCCGCCGCGGGACCCCTCCCGCGGACGCTGGCGGCCACCGCTGCCGCGGCAACCCCGCCTTGTGACCTGTGATTCCGGGAGAAGTGTGCGCGCGCTGCGGCCACGTGGCGCCCCCTGCCTGTCTCCTTCCGCTCTGCACGGTTTCTCCGCCACCTTGCGGGGGATCCTTCGCTGAGCCCCGCAGATCTAAAGGCCCCTTATGGTGGTTAATATGGATTCCTTTTGATGGGGACTTAGAGTCATTTGTTGAGGAACCGTTTCTGATTCCTTGCTTTATCCCAGCGCGCGGCACCGAGCCTGGTAGAATGAGGCTCCCAAAGGCCTCTTAACTGTTGGATGCTCATGGCAACACCGGGGCCCACAGGCAGGGCTCGGCTTGGGCAAAGAGGGCATCCGGGTTCCTTCTCCATTTCAGGAAGGGAAGGAGAAAGTGGGAACCAGCAAGGAGAGCCAGAGTGTGGAGGGAAGGCTCGCAGGGATGGAGGCCTGGCCCGTCTGTCCCTCATTCCCCAGACACCCACTCGGGGCAGACACTCTGTAGGATGCCTGGTCCTGGTCCTGGGAGTCTAGTGGGAGAAACAATGACCACACAGTGTGGCCAGGCCTATGAGAGAAGGAGGCCTCTGACCCAGCCGTAGGTGGGTAGGTCAGGGAAGGCTTCCTGGAGGAGGAGAATTCCAAACTCATTATTGAAGTGTGTGTATGAAGTGCTAGGTAAAGAAAGGAGTTGAGGGTGTATGTCCCCAACAGGGCATGGTCAGCTCTCTTCCGTCCTCTTCCTTTATCCCCCACCAGTGTCTTTTGGTCATGCTATATCTAATATCATCTCTCAAGATTATCTTTGATCCTCCCAGTGGTCTTAGGCTGAGGCTTAGCAGAAACAACCCCGGTTGATGATGACAGGACGGAAGCCAGAGGGAAATAGGACTTGCCTGGGGTCCTGTACCTAGTCGGTGGTGGAACTGGAGGACCGGGACACTGTGTCTCCTTTTACCCAGTACCCTTCTGACATGCCAACAGAGAATTTAAATAGGAAGTTCAGACCCCTAGCAGAGCTGTGAGCTGGGCTCTCAGGCCCCAGGCCAGGCGGGCACATGGCCATGGCTGGCAAGAGTGTCCACCCTGCACCAGTGGCGGTCAGAAGTGTCAGGCCCGGGGAGCACACACAGAACACACACCCCAGGTCATCTACGCACAGGCTCTATCTACCCTTTCCCACCCGTACAGCCTTGGGCAATCCATTTTCTTTTCCGATCCTCTTCCGATCCTTACCTGTAAAATGAAGCGAACAACCTCTGTCTCTCCAGACTGCTATGAGGATGAAATGACCTAATTTAGGTGTGCTCCTGGCACATAGCAGAATCAGTGAGGGGCCATTCCCAGCCCTGGGAAAGGGCCCTTGGAAGGGTCCAGAGGCAGAGACTGGGTCTCATCCGCTCCCGGTGCGGTAACCTGGCACATAGTAAATGCTCAGTAAATATTTGTTGAATCACGAGTGAACAAATAAAGGAATTAATCTAGAACAACTCCCCAGTCACGTACATAGCCTCAAAGAGGGTCGTTTGAGTCCTGGCCCTGCGGCTTTCTCGCTGGTGGCCTTGCGCACGTTACCCTGACCAAAGTTCGATTTCCTCATCTGTGACGTGGACACCGACTACAGCCTTACGAAGGAGCTCTTTTGAGGTGTCAGTGAAGTGTGGTTGTGTCCTGTGCGCTGGGAAGGCCCTGTGACCGGCCCCGGGTCTGCCCAGGTGTCAGCACAGCCCATAACCGGCCTGAGGCTGCTTTGCTTCTTCTCTCCCAGCCTGAGCCCCTGGGCTCCAGGGCTCCTGGAGGAGTGACCACAGGATATAGGCCAAGGTCTGCTGGGCTGGGAACGCTGGCAGCCAGACAGGCCAGAGCAGGTCCAGAGCAGGTGAGTCAGCTGTGCAGCAAGGAAGCCGCCCAAGGCAGCCCAAAGCCTCCCCATCATAGCAACTCACTAATCCTAGCAACCAACTCGTTCTCTCTTGACCCTTGACACGCCCACGCCCCCCCCCCCCCCCCCCGCCCATCCCATTACACGGAAGAAGAAACCAAGGCTCAGAGAGGGAGAGTAACTCGCCCTGGTCACATCTAGTGAGGTGTAGGGTCACACAGCGAATACGGGACTCCTAATTAGGCTTGGGAGCTCCCTGGCTGTGGGAGGTTCTAACCACGCAGACTCCGGAGACGTCTGTTATGTCAGCAGAGTCAAGATTCTCAGTCAGGAGTCAGGCCTCTGCCATGGTGCTGTGGCCGCTGCCTTCACTCCACATCCCCTGCTGTCTCCTGCCCACGCTCTGTAAGTTACGGCCATATGGGCCTCTCTGTCCCCAGGCACGCCCTGCCCGGCAAACCTCTGGCCCTTTCGTGTGGCTCTCCTGCCGCTGAAATGTACTGCAACTCCCCTTCCATTCCAGTTCTTACTCACCTTCTCAGAGTCAGATCGAATCCAAATCCACCCATTAGGATGGCCATTATAAAAAAAACAATACAAAACAGGGGCGCCTGGGTGGCTCAGTCGGTGAAGTGTCCGACTCTTGGTTGCAGCTCAGGTTATGATCTCCCGGTTGGTGACTTCCAGCCCCAAGTAGAGCTCTGCGCTGACAGCGCAGAGCCTGCTTGGGATTCTCTCCCTCTCTCTGCCCCTCCCCTGCGCATATGTGTGTGCTCCCTCTATCAAAATAAACAGGTGAACTTAAAAAAAAAAACAACACAGTAAATACCAAGTACTGGCAAAGATGTAGAGAAATTGGACCCCTTGCGCATTGTCGGTGGGAATGTAAAATGATGTGGCTCTTATGGAAAACAGTATGATAGTTCTTCAAAAAAACTAAACATCGGTATGACCGAGTCTTCCCACTTCTGGGTATATAGCCAAAAGAACTAAAAGCAGGGACAGAAACAGGTATTTGCATGTCCGTCGTAGCATTGTTCCCTACGGCCAAGGTGGAAACGACCCACCCGTCCACCGACGGATGAATGGATAAACAAAATGTGGTCTCTACATGCATACAATGAAATATCGGTCACCCTTAAAAAGGAAGGAAATTCTGACCCTGTGACAACACGGATGAACCTTGAAGGCCTTAGGCTGAGTGAAAAGAGCCAGTCACAAAAGGACAAATATTATAGTATTCTAGTTACAGGAGGTAATTAAAGTATTCAAATTCAGGGGGACAGAAAGTGGAACAGTGGTTACCAGGGGCTTGGGGAACGAAGGATCAGGGGGCTATTGTTTCATGGGCACTGTTTCCCTTTGGGAAGATGAAAGGTTTTGGGGAAGGATGGTGGGGATGGCCGCACAACAAAAGGGATGTGCTTGATGTTACTGACTGTACATGTTAAATGTAACCATTTAACAATGGTTAAAATGGTCAGTTTCAGGCTAAGCAGGTGTTACCACAATCAAAAGGCGGGGTGGGGGAGAGCCAAGCACTCTGGGAATCCATCCCTGATGCCTCCAAGAAGGCCGGAGCCCAGGGGTCATCTCACGGGCGCCAGCGATTTAGAGCAATTCTTGTTGACGAAAACTCGTTAAGTTTCATATTTTAAAATTACAGGTGAGAAGTAGCACCGGGATGATGTTTTGAATTTACCTTTTTATTGCTCAAGGCATGCTTTTCCCCAGGGGGTTGAGTTCCTCTTTTGAAAACGCTGGTCTCTTTTTCAAGAGGCTGGAGGCACAGGGTGTCAGGAGCCCTGCCCAGGTGGAAGGAGGGGCAGGAGGGTCTCAGAAGCTCAGATCGGCTACAAAGCCCAAGCATTGGAGGACCAGCCGCCTTGCAGCAGGGAGTACAGCCCTGCCTTCTAGACGGTAGGGAACCAGTGCCCGTCCTGGGAAAAGACCAGCAAGAGCAAGAAAACTGGGCCACAGGGGGCATATGGGATAGAATGGGAACCAAGGGGGTGCAGTGGGAGCTGCTGGCAGCTGTCCAGAGTGGCATTCACCAGGTTTACCCTTGATATCTGCCCTACCTCTAGGGGAGAGAATGTCACCCTCATGTCACAGATAAGGAAAGTGTGAGGTATGCAATCATGAAGTGACTCATACTTATGAAGGTCACAGATTATTAGGGATGGCAAAGGCAGGGCAGAGGAGGCAGGGAAATCCTAAGTGGGGAAGCCATTATTTATTAACGGCCTAAGGAAGAGCCGAGAGAAGTGGCCGGCTCCCTTCAGAGGAAGGAGAACACAGGCACTTGGGAGAGGGTGGGGACAGCAGGAGTGAGGGCGGCTTCCACAGGCCGCTGGAAGGGCCAGTCCCGGCCCTCCTAGTCAGCGAGCTCAGGCAGAGAGAGTGGGGCAGCGCCCGCGGAGAAAGGGCCTGGCTGGGGTTCAGCCAGCTGGGTTCCAGGATGCTTGGGCCCAGCTCGGTTCTGTGACCCAGGCAAGTCCTTTCCTCCCCAGCCCGTTTCCCGCCTGCTGAGCCGAGAGAGTAAAACCAGGCCTTTTGCCACGCACCGGGGTTCGCGCGCCCCGCATTTGGCAATGCACCTGTTTTCCTGGCATACCTGGTTGTGCAATGCGTGCGTCCAAGGGCCGCTGAGCAGCGAAAGCCGACACACCCACAGGGCGCTCCCGGAGCCGAAGCTCAGACCCTCCCACCAGAGGGAGGCGGCCGGGGAGCCGGAGGCGGCAGTACCCTGTGCCTTCCCGCGCGGCCCCTCGCCTCCCGCGCCGGGCTCGCCCCGGCCACGGCACCCACCCCCCTCACCGCAGCCTCCGGGGGCAGGGGCGAGGCCCGGGGAGCAGGGGGGCTGCCATGGCGGAGCCGGAGGCCGCGGCCGAGGACCTAGACGCCCTCGTCGACGACCTGGACTACCTGCCGGGCCACTTCCACCTGGAGATGCAGCTGAACTTTGAGCCGCGCTCGCCGGCCTCGCTCCGCGCCCGGGACCTGAAGCTGCAGCGGGACGGCCTCCGGCAGGAGCTCGAGCTGGCGGCCGCCCCGCAGCGCCCCGCCGTGCGCCACCTCCTAGGCGCCTTCGCCTTCTACCTGGAGGAGCTGGACGAGGCCC